CCCCCTGCTATCCCAGCCCTGGGCTCCCCACAGACAGCTCTGCCAGGGCCCCTTACCCCTGACCTGCAGCCCCCTGCTATCCCAGCCCTGGGCTCCCCACACACAGTTCTGCCAGGGCCCCTCACCCCGAACCTGTCTCTTCTCTGCCTAGCCCAGATTCTTCTTGCAAACTCTGTTCCCATGGGGGAGTCCTGTCCCCAGCCATCCCTGAATCTCCTCTTCCCCCCCCACCCTCAGCCTCACACACACTACTGTGCCACATCTCATCTCCTGGTGCCTTTTTCATCACAGGGGGAGGTGCTGAAGCTAGCGCTGCCTGTGCCTGGCCAGCTGCACCATGATGCCCTTCGGGGGAATTGCCTCCCGGCTGCAGAGAGACCGGCTGCGAGCAGAAGGGGTGGGTGAGCACAGCAATGCCGTCAAGTACCTGAACCAGGACTACGACACCCTGAAGCAGGCGTGCCTGGAGAGTGGCGCACTCTTCGAGGACCCCCAGTTCCCACCTGTCCCCTCCGCCCTTGGCTTCAAGGAGCTGGGGCCAAACTCTGGCAAGACCCAGGGGGTGCGCTGGAAGCGCCCATCGGTAAGTGCCTGGCTCTCTCCTCTGTGGGGCCTACAACGTCCATCTGGATCCACTCGGCCAGGAGGCCCTGGACTGTGAGAGCTGCTCTGCCATGGTGACCCAGGCTGTGGCCCTGTCCCTTACACACTGGATCCCTTTGCCTGCCCTGAACCCTGGTCCCCAATCTTCCAAGCACTCCAAACCCCTCTGCCTGCCCCAGGCCCCATCTCCTTCAGACACCCTCCTTCCCCACAGGTGCCCGGAGCCAGGGGTGCCAAGGGAGTTCTGTCTCTTGCACCCTCTGAACCGGTTGCCTTCTGTAGTGAGTTCTTTTTCCCTTGGTTAGATCTGGGCATTGAAATGTGAGGGTTGGTCTCTGTATCACCCCTGCCCTTTCTGGATGGAATTGGACCTGCACAGGGGTGTGAGCACGTTGCCTTCAGTGACTGGGGGCCCTCAGTGTAAGCCCTCATACCATTGCCACTAATGAGGTTTGGGGCCTGTGGCTCTGCAGCAGAAGGTCTCAAAATGTTTCCCCACTGATCCCTTTGGAGTGGTTACAGTCAAGGCCCTTGCCCACTGCTGGTGGCAGTTGGCACCCCTCTCCCCTGAGGGTGCCACGTGGTCACTCCTGCCCCCTGAACCAGAGATCAGAGTGCAGATCCTGCTGAGAGCTTGCACCAGTATTTGAATCTTTCTGCTCCTCTGCAGGAAATCGTGGGGGACCCTCAGTTTATTGTTGGAGGCGCCACAAGGACAGATATCTGCCAGGGGGCTTTGGGTAAGTACTGTCCATCCAATCCCTGCACAGCAGCACCTAATGTTCAGTACAGGGCTGGGAGGAGGTGTTCATGTGAGGAGTGTTTGAATGGATTGAAATTGGGGGTCCCTCTCAAGTGCAAAGAGGGGATCCTGGTGGCAGAGGCTAGGGTTTTGTAAGGGTCAGTTTCCCAGCATTCTCTCCAGGAGTTGGGGGATTGACCCCAGTGCCCCCGCTGAATCAACTCTGCTATTACTTCTGTTCTTCCACCATAATCCCGCCAAGCCCTGCAGCTCTGGTTCCATCCTGAGATATCCTTCACATCTTGCCAGGATCTAAGCAGGACTTCCCTCCTGTTTAGCACTATGGAAAGGGCAGGGGCTCGCAACCCCTTCACCACTACTGTGTGTGACTGACTGTTGGTTACAGCAGTCCCTGGACGTCCCAGTCAGGAATCCAGGCCCCATTGTGCCAGGCACTGTGCATACATGTCCGTAATAAGCCAGTTCCTTCTCCAGAGAGCTTTCAACCTTGGCATGTGATGAGAGACAACAGTCAACGAACGTGGGACAGGGCAAAGTAGCAGTGCTCTGTGATCGGCGGTGGTGGCTGCTCACTTGCGTAGTGTTTTGTGGGCAGCGTGGTGGAGGTGAATTGGAAGGACTGTGTAGTGGCTCTGCTGATTTTCACAGGGAGTGCCTTCCAGGCATGAGGGGGGCAAGGTAGAAAGCACAAAGGTGGCCAGTGGTCAGCAAAGGCTGGCAGGGGTAGACGTCTGGATAATATATTACAGTTGTTAGGTAGGTGGGGCTGAGCTGTGATTAAAAACCAGTAGCTTGTGTTTGATGTCTTGGAGAAGAAGGGAGCAGGGCAGTGGAGGGACCAAAGAGGAAGGTGACACAGAGTGAGCTTAGCTGGCAAGGTAATCTTAGCAGCAGCATTTTGAATGGGCTCAAGGGAAGCAAGATGATATGGAATCATAGACATGTAGGGCTGGAAGGGACCCTGAGAATTCATCTAGTCCAGCCCCCTGTGCTGAGGCAGGACCAAGGAAACCTAGACTGTCCCTGACAGGTGTTAATCTAACCTGTTTTTAAAAACCTCCAATGATTCCACAGCCTCCCTAGGTAATCTATTCCAGTGCTGAGCTATCCTTACCATTCGAAAGCTTTCCTGACAGCTAACCCAGATCTCCCTGGTTGCAGATTAAGCCAATTACTTCTTGTTCTACCCTGAGAAAACATGGAGAACAATTGGTCACTGTCTGCTTTACAACAGCCCTTCACATATTTGAAGACTGTTATCAGAGCCCCACTCAATCTTCTTTTCTCAAGATTAAACCCCTCACCCCCCCCCGCCATTTTTTTAACCTTTCCTCATATATCATATTTTCTAGACCACTCATCATGTTTGTTGCTCTCCTCTGGCCTCTCTCCAATTTATCGACCTCTTTCCTAAAGTGTGGCACCCAGAATTGGATGCAGTACTGCAGCTTGAAACTCACCGGTACCCAAGGAGAGCTGGACAGTTACCTCCTGTGTCTTTCATACAACACTCCTGTAAATACACCCCAGCCCTACAACACCCCTGTGAACCTGGACACTTCCAAGCATTCGTCAAGGAGCAGCGATGATGCTGATTTTGGTAGTGTAGCCAGATTTTTAAGATGCTGCGTAGGAAGAAGTGGCAGGATTTAGATATGGTTTGAACATGTGGCTCTCGAGAGCAGGGTCTCCTAAAATACTGTGTGCTGATGTGTGTTAAACAGCTGCTATGTTCCACCCCAGAGATGGCTGCATTTCAATGTCTGGGGAAGTGATTACGGTGTCTAGTTTGTAGAACCCCTTGGGGGCTTTGGGAATGTCGGAACTGCCATGGGCACAGCGGCATGAACCTGCATGGGGAGCCACAGAGCCAGGCTGGGCACAGTCTTGGGAAGAGAGAGGCAGGATCCCTAACTCCCTTACAGCAGCCAAAACTGAGCCCCAAATTGCAGTTAGTACATGAGAGTCTGTCCAGGAGAGAGCCATGGCCAGCGTAGAGGTGGGAGGCTGCAGGCCAGGATCAAGAGGCATAGGCAGAGCTGGGTGGATGGGCCAAGACTGGAATGGTCCAATGGGGAGGGCTGTGGGTCAGGAATGAAGGGCATTGGTGGAGCTGGGGCTGGGGCCCCAAGACTGGAAGAGCAGGGGGAGTTGGTGGCCAGGACTGGGGGGCACTGGCACAGTGGGGGTGAGGCTGGGCCACTCTCTGGTGTCCCCATAGCATCACTGTACCTCCAGGACAGGCGTGAGTGGAGCGGGTGTTCTAGGCCTGGCCACGCCCGGGCAGGAAGTTCCTAGGGAGCTGAGTCACAAGGGGAGGGCAGCTTGTGGCTTGAGGGTTGCTGTGGTGATGGTGTGTAAGATGGTGCCGTGGCTATATTTAGAATTCCCAAGGAGATATCAAAACCAGGCCCTGCCCCCGAGTCCCGTCCAGGGCGCCCCCCGAGTCCAGTCCTGGTTCTTCTCCTGCTGGGAGCTTCCCTGTTCTGCCTCTTGGGCGCTCCCTCTGCATCCCCACCCCTGCCAGCCTGTGCCCACTCTCTGCTGCTCCCCCCACCCCTGCCAGCCTGTGCCATTTCCCTGCTGGATTTGCCAGTTACCAGAAAAATAATTTAATCTGCCAGGTTATTTTTTTTTATTTACATGGGTCTAAAGTTTTGCATTATTCTCCCAACACACTGGGATATCTACTGTTAAAAGTGTCTGTGTCCAGCTAAAGATGCTGCAGTGTTCCCACTTCTGCAGTTTAAGCAATAACCGATGAAAACGGTTAAAAATACAGCAGCTGTCTGCCCACCACCACGCAAGTGCACTGCACGCGTGTGTGAGAGAGGGTTTGAGTCACGCGAGAGTGGGCACTCACACTGCCGGGGTCCTGGCCACGGGTCTGGGGGGCTCTGCTTTTTAATGTAATTTAAAGTGAAGCTTCTTAAACATTTTAAAAAACTTATTTACTTTACAGACAACAATTGTTTAGTTATATATTATAGACTAATAGAAAGAGACCTTCTAAAAACGTTAACATGTATTACTGGCACACGAAACCTTAAATTAGAGTGAATAAATGAAGACTCGGCACACCACTTCTGAAAGGTTGCCGACCCCTGCTCTAGATACTATAAGGAGCTGTTGGGGGTGGGGGGGTTGCAGAATTGCCTTGTGGTTGGGGGTTGGGCTTGCCTCGTGTGGGAGGGGATGCCAGTTTTTTGGCATTTCAGAGGTGGTAATCCTATCTGTCTCCCTTAGCGCCCAGGCGTCTCTGCCCTCAGCCGCTTGTCACTCACTGCATGGTTCCTGCCCGCAGCAGGGCAGCCTGGCTTGTTCCCTTCTGACTGACAGGAGCACCTGGTCGTGAGGCACAAGCTGGCTGGCCTCCCAGCAGTTCCTGCCCTCCCCCATTATTTCCGGATGCTCTGGGGAGGAGTGTGAACCCCTGGGCACAGTGCCCAAAGCCTGGGGTCTGGGTGGGTCTGTGTTTCCATCCCCCTCAGTCAGTGCCACCTCACCAGGCCCTGGGTCCTTCCTGCAGACCACGTGGGAGGATGGAGGGTGCTGGGGGGGCACATCCTTCTGCTTCCACAGGGCTAACCAGGGGTGTTGTGGGGGTGGAGCATCCTGGGTCCCCCTCTGCCCAGCATCCCTGGGAGGAAGTTGCTGGGACTCCCCCACCCCACCCCACCCCTGTTAACTCCTTCGGTGCCTGGGTTCTGTGGGCCCTGGGGATGCAACTGGCTCTTGTATCATAATGGGCAGCAGGCTGGAGGATCCCATGTGGTGCTGTGCAGGGAGGGAGGGGGGTGCGATAGAGTAGGGAGGGACACAATCTCTGGTCCCAGTGACTCAGCAGGGAAGCTGTAGAGAGGGAGAGGCTGGGGGCAGGTCTGGCGGCTGATCCCAGCTCCCTGCTCTCCAGGTGACTGCTGGCTGTTGGCTGCCATTGGCTCCCTCACCCTCAACGAGGATCTCCTGCACCGCGTGGTGCCCCATGGACAGAGCTTCCAGGAGGACTATGCTGGAATCTTCCACTTCCAGGTAAGGCCCAGGGCAGGGCAGCTCCCCACCTGACTGCAGGTGCTGCAGAGCCCCTCGAGATAGGTCCAGCCTGCTGAGGGCCCAGGCCTCGGAGTGGAATCCTGGCCTGAGACCGTCTACACTGAGTGACTACTGGGCTCTGTCATGGCCCCTCTCTGCCTCAAGCTCTGCAGCTGTCCCTGTCCAGGGGAGCCTGGTCTTGCCCCACTCACCCCAGGCTCTCCTCCCTCCCCAGATCTGGCAGTTCGGCGAGTGGGTGGACGTGGTGATTGACGACCGGTTACCGACCAAGGACGGGGAGCTGGTGTTCGTGCACTCGGCAGAGTGCTCCGAGTTCTGGAGTGCCCTGCTGGAGAAGGCCTATGCCAAGTGAGTGTCAACCTGCTGGGCCTGGGGCCAGTGGGGTCAGAGAGGGCGAGGGGCTGAGCGGGGAGCACATCTCTGGGGATCCCGTCCTAGGGGTGTCTCCTCCAATGGGCTCACGCCTCTGATTTGGGGAGCAGCCGGTGAGTCCCAGTGCTGTCTGCCCTGGCGTCCCGCTCATCCGCTGGCTCTGTCTGGTATGCAGGCTGAACGGCTCCTATGAGGCCCTGTCAGGGGGCAGTACCACGGAGGGCTTTGAGGACTTCACTGGGGGCGTGTCGGAAATGTACGACCTCAAGCGGCCGCCCAGCAACCTATCTAGGATCATCCGCAAGGCGCTCGATAGAGGATCCCTGCTTGGCTGTTCCATTGACGTAAGGGGTGCCCCTCTGCCCTAAGGGGCTGTGGGGAGGTTGGGGCCCCTTCTCCACGTTCCACCTCAGGCTCTGAGGCCAGATTGCTCCCTGCATCCCCCTCCATGCCCAGTTGCCAAGGGGGAAGGTGTAAAATCCTCCTTGGCTGTGTCACAATCCCTTGGTAGAGAGGGTAACCCCCAGCTGGTGTCCCCCCAGCACCCCAGCAGGGCTGGTTGTAGCTTGAGGGGTGCCCCACCCAGATCTCCCCCACATGAGGATAGCGTGGCCCCTTGCTGAGCCCCAGCAGCGGGGGCTGGGGAGCAGAGCTGGTTCACAGTCCCTGTAGGCATCTCAGGCAGGGGATCTGGATGGGGCCAGTCTTGCTGGTGGGGAAGGCCTGTGGGTGCAGAGAAATCATTCATGCCCCTCTATCAGGTTTTGGAGCAGGCATGTGCCCCCTTGTGGTGAAAGTTTGAATCAGCACCCACTGATCTGCAATTTCCAAGGGGGCATGTCGGGGCCATAAAACCAAAATCTCCCAAACAACTGCGGGGGCAGGTCAATCCAACCTTCTGAGGAGAGGAGCAAGAGGGTCGGGGCTTCAGCATTAGCCCCCAGCCTGAAGGGTCCCAGGGGATGTACTGTGCAGTAGAGGGATTCTTTCCTCCTCCCACAACCTCTGCTCTAGGTGTGTCTGTGTCATATATATATATATATATATATAAAATAAAATATCCACTGAGCGATCCCTCTTGTACAGGGATCCGCAAAGTGGGAAGTATCCATTCATCTCCCCCTGCCCCCCCCAACGCGTCGCATTGCAGCTATCACTCCAGCAGAGCCCTCGTTGCAGCTGCTGCAGTGAGGGAGAGCAATCTCTGTCTAGTCCAGTACCACATTTGGCAGCTTGCCAGGAGCCCGAAGACCACTCCCAACATAGTGAGAGTGACTGCAACTTGCTCTTTTCATATGGAGACTATAGCTCCCAGCATGCAGTGCGCTCCACCTTGAGGTGAATGGCAGGGCTGCTGGAACAAGGCATGCTGGGGCTTGTAGTCTCCATGGACAGCATCTCCAGACAAGTGAGGGCGCTCAGGGCTTTGTTTTGGGTGCCTCAAAATGCTTTTACATAGCACTGAGTTCAGGTGTTTGCTAGGCAGGCACTCGGGGCACAAGCAGGGGCTGGGTGGCTGGCTGTCGCGGGGAGTTGAATAGATTGGCCCACATCACCAGCCCTGATCCTTTGGTTGACAGTGCCCTGCCCCTCCCCGGGGCTGGAGCAGCTTGGGATGGGGGCTGTCTGTGGGCAGGCAGCACGTGTCAGTGTCTCCTTAGCTAGAGGAGGAGGTGCTGGCTCTGGGCCGGGGGAAATGCACCAATTCCTTGTCCTCTCCCCTCAGATCACAAGTGCCTTTGATATGGAAGCAGTGACCTTCAAGAAGCTGGTAAAGGGGCATGCCTACTCTGTCACAGGCTTCACTGAGGTGAGTGGCTGCCTGGGACCAAGAGAAATTACATGGCTCAGCCAGTGACATCAGTTTAACCTTTGACCTCTGAATTTTGCCAGGTGGATTACCGAGGTCGCCAGGAACAGCTCATCCGCATCAGGAACCCCTGGGGTCAGGTGGAGTGGACTGGAGCCTGGTGTGACGGGTGGGTGAGAAACGGGTGCCATGCCAGCATTGTGTGGTCCTGATGGGAGGGAAGTCTTGTCATGTGCAGTCCAGGTGCTGTTTGCATGGCACTGTTAAGAGAGAGCTCGCAGCGCGTGATGCCCCTGCGGCAGATAAAGGTGCAGCTCCAGGGTGGGCTCTGAATTGTCTGGCACTGGGGCGTGTCAGGGAGGGTGGCACAGTTCAGTATTAGTGTCCCCTATCTCACTGCCTCTCTCCTGCTATCCCAGCTCCTCCGAGTGGGACAACGTGGACCCCACCCAGAGGGAGGAGCTGCAGCTGAAAATGGAGGATGGTGAGTTCTGGTGAGTATCAGCAGAGACAGATGGTGCCACTCTCCAGCACCCGAGAGGCAGGGCAGCCTGCACCTGTTCCAGACGGGGGGCGGGGCCATAAGATTCTGATCCTCGGGGGATCACATGTTTTGTCCTAATTGGCTGAATTCCTACCAAATCAGGAGCCTAGGAAAGTGTCTCCATCTCCCCAGTTAATAACTCTGCTCTTCTGCAGCCCTTCCACCCAGCCAGACGCTACGGAGCTGGCCAGCCCTCCAGGTGTGCGAGCGGGACCTGTCGTAGCACGTCCGCACGCCACATCCTGTTGCCCCCGTCCCAGTTGCAGGCTGTTGCCCTGGTGGTCCTGCTGTGCCTCTCACCTTCCCCAGCACACCATTGAGAGTGCCTGCTTCTTGGCCCAGAGTTGGGGTTTGTTGCCCTAAAGATGGAAATAGAGCTGGGGGATTGGCAGAGGGCTTCACTGCGTGCAGCTCTGCTTAGGGAATCTATCCTCAGGGTGGGACGCAGCCAGGCTGATGATATGAAGGACCCTAGCTGGGCTGCGTGGGGCTTAGGCCAGCAGGAGGGACACTTATTCCAGGCTGCTGCCAGTGAACCCAGATGAGCCCCCTCTGCACTCAGCCTTGTTGGGGTGGCGATTGCAAATAGGGCTGGGACAGGAATGTGAGGGAATAGCCTTTTCTGGCCCCAAGCATTGTTGGCTCAGACAGCAGTGGGGGGTGGGCCGGATGGGACCCCCTGAGTGTGCCCCCTGTACCTTCCCTTGTCTGAGAGCTCCTGAGCAGTGGGGCACAGGGAAGGGGTTAGAGCCAGGAAGGTGAGGGCCCCCTGGATGGGAGACCAGGAGCCTCCCCAGCACCACCACCCCCCGGGCCTCCCCAGCACTGTTGAAGAAACCCCCTAGTGGAGAGATCCAAGCTGTGCGGAGTCTCAATCTTTTCTCTGCCTCCCCTCCCCCATGTTCAGGATGGCTTTCAAGGACTTCATGAGGGAGTTCTCCAGGTTAGAGATCTGTAATCTGTCCCCTGATGCCCTGGACAAGGACAGCGTGAGCAAGTGGCACACAACTCTGTTCGAGGGTTCCTGGCGCAGAGGCAGCACAGCAGGGGGCTGCAGGAACCACGCAGGTACCACCCACCACCAGCCTGTTCCGTGAGGGTATGTCTACCCTGCAGTGTAAGCCTAGGGTTCGAATTCAGACTCAGGCCTAATCCCCTTTCCATCCACACACAAATCGCACTAACCCAGGGCTCGAACCCAGGGTCCCAGGACCCCAGAGGGGTGGGGGATCCAAGCCTGAGTCAATCCGGGACCCAGGGTTCAAGCCCTGTTGCTCTGCGGTGTAGACGCAGCCCCACTGGACTCATGCTCTGGGAATCTGCCAAAAGTATTCCACGGGCCAACTTCCTTTGTCCTCTGGACAGCCAGGTTTGGTGGGCAGTCAGGTTTTCCCACACTGCACCACGAATAAAGGGCTAAAGCAGCCACATTTTTGGGAGGGCACTAGGAAGTCTGGGATATGGATAGTTGGACTTGCACCTGCCTAATGCATTGTAGACGCTGGAGACCCAGATTGGGACCCAGGGTTCAACAGTTCCTAACCTGGGGTTACAAATGAGTGTAGATACTCAAGCCCTAGGTTCAGAAACTCAAGTTCTACTAACCCTGGGCTTACATTGCAGTGTAGACATACCCAAAGACTCCAGTTTTCATGTGTGTGATCAGGGAGCACGGTGATGCTCTGTGAGCTGTGAGCGGGTCTGCCATGGGGTGGGGGTTGTGGGGCCTGTCCCTGCTCTGGCAGAGGGGAACCCCTGGGCGAGGAACAAACTGTAGCCCAGCACATCTGAGCCCTGAAACAAGGAGGGAGTGGCTGGTGATCAGAGACACCGGGGGGATGCAGGAGCCTACCCCTTGCATAGCATTGGCTATGGGGAAGTGGGTGCGATGGGGGAGGAGGCTGTGAGGCCTGCTCACCCGATCCATTATCCCGCCGCCTCTTTCCTGCAGCCACGTTCTGGATTAACCCCCAGTTCAAGATCAAGCTCCTGGAGGAGGACGACGACCCCGAGGACGACGAGGTGGCCTGCAGCTTCCTGGTGGCCTTGATGCAGAAGCACCGGCGGAAGGAGCGGAAGATGGGGGGAGACATGCACACCATCGGCTTTGCCGTCTACGAGGTAACCCCCTAGGGGTGGGGAGTCCCCTATCCCAACCCACATGGGGGCGGCACTGCTGAGCTCCAGAGGGGATCCCACAAGCCCTGTTAGTGGGGTGACTTTCCCCACTCGCCCTCTATACAGCCCTGAGCTCAAGAGGCAGCGGGCAGGGGCTCCACTCCCCACACACAGGTCCTGATCTCTCCCTTCTCCTTTCCACAGGTCCCGGAGGAGGTACGTCCTGAGCTGCCAATCCCCACCGCTTGGAGTGTGTGAGAAGAGGAGTGCTAGGGCTGGCAGAAAGGGGTTAATTCAGATCCTGGGCTCCTGAGGTCCATCAGCCCTGGGGATTTCCTGCCTCAGCCTTTCATCAGTTCCATCAGCCTGCTAGGGCAACCCCTGGCCAAGCCTTCCCTGGGCTGGCAGGAGAAAGCATGCCAAAGTGTGCTTGGCAAGGGAATGCCAGGAGGAACTGGCTGATGCTCGGCCTGGCTAGTGTCACAGGAGCTCAGCACGCTCAGGTTGGGGGCAGGAAGATCCCCACCCCCTGGAGCAGGGGTGGCCAACCTGTGGCTCCAAAGACACATGCGGCTCTTCAGAAGTTAATATGCGGCTCCTTGTATAGGCACCGACTCTGGGGCTGGAGCTACAGGCGCCAACTTTCCAATGTGCCAGGGGGTGCTCACTGCTCAACCCCTGGCTCTGCCACAAGCCCTGCCCCAACTCCACCCCTTCCCGCCCCCTCCCCTGAGCCTGCCGTGCCCTCGCTCCTCTCCCCTCCCCCCCAGAGCCTCCTGCATGCCACAAAACAGCTGATCTGGAGGTGTGAGGAGGGAGGGGGAGGTGCTGATTGCCAGGGCTGCTGGTGGGTGGGAGATGCTGGGAGCAGGTGGGGGAAGCTGCTGGGGGGTTGCTGACATATTACTGTGGCTCTTTGGCAACATACATTGATAAATTCTGGCTCCTACTCAGGCTCTTGTTGGCCACCCCTGCCCTGTAGTAATCACTCACTGCAGTGTGTGCATGCGCACATGGGGCGGGGGCTATCTCCTTGCCTCCAGAAGCTGCAGCATTGGTCTGTGTTGAGAGACCAGACATTGGATTAGCTGGGCCGGGCTAATCTAACTTCCTGGAGATGGTCTGTCCAGGGTGGGTAGGTTTGATGGGTGCCCTCCACCCCAGAGCCGTGAGTCTGCAGCTGTGTTGGTATTCAGTGTCCAGTGCCCAGGGCCCTGGGCAGCTCCCTCCCTGCCCGTGGCTGGGCTGTTACCCATGGGTGTGTCTGGTCCCCAGGCCCAGGGCTGCCAGAATGTGCATCTGAAGAAGGAGTTCTTCCTGCGGAACCAGTCCCGGGCACGCTCAGAGACCTTCATCAACCTCCGGGAGGTGAGCAACAAGATCCGGCTGCCCCCGGGCGAGTACCTCATCGTGCCCTCCACCTTTGAGCCGCACAAGGAGGCCGACTTTGTCCTGCGCGTCTTCACTGAGAAGCAGTCTGACACAGAGTGAGTCCACATGTGAGATAAGCGGCCGGGTCTCAGCTCAGGCTCTGGGGACACGATAGCCCAGCTCAGGCCTGGCGTGGCTCAGGTGGTCCCTGGGCAGATCCGGCTGAGTGGGAAGCTTCTCCAGAACATACTGACATGGGGGTGGGGGAGGGCAGTCCCCTCCTCAGGTTTGGGCATTGGGATCGGAGCCCCACACAGCTGCAGGGGAGAGGCCTGACCCTTCCCTGCCCATCACTCCATGTCTGTGTTGTCATGTGTCTCAGTGCTTTGTATCCCCTGGGTGTCTGGTTCCCCCCCAGATCAGGTGTAGGACAGGGTCCCCAGGTCATATTCCTTGGGCCCCTCTCCCCAGGGGTCTCAGAGCTAGGGTTTCTCTCCCCAAACCTCCTGGCCTGTCTGATCTAGCCGCACTAGGGGGTACGCCATGCTCACCGCCCCCACAGCCCACCACGCCTATCAGGACCCCGCTCCTCTCCCAGCTGGCATGCTGCCCCCTCACTCACTGTGTCTCCCTCTTGTGTCCTCAGGGAGCTAGATGAGGAGATCACCGCGGATCTGCCGGATGAGGTAAGAGGCCACCAAACCCAAGCCAGTGGGGGTGCAGGGCAGCACAGTGGGGTATGGGGGAAAGAGCTCCAGCTGGGGGCTGGCTGCGTTCATGTGCCCAATGCTGGTTTGAAATGGCCCCTCGGCCAGAGGACAGACTGGGCTGAGGAGCGGAGAAGGGGGCACAATTGAGGGAGGAGGGCAGGTGACAGTAGCGAACAGGTGGGGAGCTGAAGGGCAGCTGGAGGAGGGATGCAGAGAGCTCCCCCTGCTGGCTCTTTTCAATAGGAGCCTAGGTGTGATGGCAGCTCAGCTTTAGTGGGAGGGGAAAGTCCAGAGCTTGTTTAATAACCTGCCCCTGGTTTGTGTCACCCCAGGAAGAGCTCTCGGAGGACGACGTGGACAGCGCCTTCAGGAACATGTTCCAGCAGCTTGCAGGAGAGGTGGGTGCTGCCGCTCTGGGCTCTGTTAATGCCCCCCGCCCCGGGGCCCTTCGCGCCAGCAGCAGGCTGGGAGCATTCTGTGAATCAGAAATGCGGGAGGGGCCATTGTTGTCTGTATCCCTGTCAGGATCAGGCCCCGTTGTGCTGGGCACTGAGCACGCACGGTTGAGACGCTCCCTGCCCTGAACAGCCCCCAGGCTCCGCAGCAGGGGTGTGGACATCAGTCTCAGAGGTGTAAGGGGGACAACCCTCACTGCGGCAAGGCTGGGATGCTCTGTACCCAGCTGGGGGCCACGTCACTCAATGGCTCAGCCCCTCCTCCCCTCTGGGTGTGGGGCACAACCCGGCTCCATAAGTACTGGGCCTGAGCGTTTATGCCTCACTTCATTAGAGGGCAAGACCCTGCCCCCCGCCACTGCAGCTTCCCATGGAGACCCCGCAGGCTGCGGGTGGGGAAGTCCTGCTTCACCAATGCTCCTAAGTCTTTTCCTGCTCCCGCTTCGTACCTCCTGCTGCCTCAGTGGAGCTGGGGTGGGGGGTCCTGGCCGCAAGACTGGCTCTGGCCTATAACCTGGTTTCCTTGGCTGGCAATGAGGTGCTGCAAACCAGCAGGTCTCCTTCACCGACAGCAGAGAGCAGACATGGGCCATCACGCAGCACTTGGGGGGAGGGAGAAAATCCCTGCTTGGGGGGTGATTTGATGGGGTCAGAAAGGGGTCCAGGCGCTGCCTGAACCACGCCTGGCACCAGGGAAACCCACCACCCTGGTGTCTTGTGAGCGAGTCTGGGGGAGGTGTCCAGCTGAGTGGAGTGGATGGGGCGTCGCTAATCCTCTGCCCTCTCGCCAGGACATGGAAATCAGTGTCTTCGAGCTCAGGACTATTCTGAACAGAGTCGTCACCAGACGTAAGTGCTGCCCCCTCGCTCGCTCACTCCCCTGCTCTGTGACTCATTCTCCCAATAACAGCGTCTCCTTCCCCCACCCCCAGACAAAGACCTGAAGACGGACGGGTTCAGCATGGAGTCCTGCCGCAACATGATCAACCTGATGGACGTATCCTGCTCTGTGCTGGGGGGAGGGGGAGCCTCTCCCGTGGGGACCCACCCTTCTGGCAGAGACCCCTTTTCCCGAGGTGGGGGTGTGGGGTGGGTTTGGTTTGGGGCTGACACTCCCAACCCAGGTAGTTTCAATAGAGGCCCAGCCCAGCATGGCAACCCAGATGTCTACTCTGTACCCCTCACCAAGGCTCATTTCTTGGGGGGATGTTCGATCCCGGCTGTAGCAGCACCCTGGGCCCCTGCTCCAATGCCTCTGACCCGGCCCGTTGGCCACGGTGCAGGCTGGAGCAGCAGGCTTTCTGGAACAAGCTTTCACTTCCTCTCCATGCCCGTTGCCCAGGGAGCTGTGCCTGCTCCAGCCCAGAGCCTGGCCACACCCTAAGTTTCTCTTCTGCCTCCCACTTTGCGAGAGGAAGCGCTCCGCCGCTCAGTTCCCTCTATTAGTACACTCTCACGCACCAGGCCTGGGACCCTTTGCTGCCCAGCAGTGACCTGCTCCATCTCTGGGCCGGGGGCAGACACAGGGAGACCCCTGGCCCCAAGTGGGACTGAGTAAGGGTATACCAGGTTCTCACCCAAACTCCTTCAGTGGAGCAGCATCCCCCCCTTCCTCTCCCCCATTGTTCTGTCTGACTGCTGGGGATGGAGTGGGGAATCGACAGCCACTGGTCTGTGCTCCCGGCTCACACTGAGAGCCACTAGGGCAGTGCCAGGGAGTCACGATCACTGGGGAGCAAGAATTAAACACCACCACAGCCCCCCTTCCACTGCACACTGAGATGGATGGGAGCACATGCCAGCCCAGCTCTTAGAGCCACTCTGATCCCAGAGCGCTTCACAAATTGTGTGTACACAGTGCCTCAGAAATGCAGCCACCTCTGGGGTGGGGCCAACAGCTATTTAACTGCTGCACAGCACAGCAGCGTGAGGGGATCCTGTGCCCATTTCATGCAGCAGGGGAGCGAGAGGGGCCAAATGGAACTGAGCCAGTTAGAATTTGGCCTGGCTAAAAGCCCTGTTCTTGCCACAAGTACCCTGGGATCTTGGATGAACACAAGTGGCCAGGGCCTCTCCCTTCCCAACCTCTTCCTGCCTCTCCCTGCACTCAGGGAGTGGTCACTTTCTCCTTGACGCTGCTCCCCAGAAAGATGGCAGTGCCCGCCTTGGCCTTGTGGAATTCCAGATCCTGTGGAACAAGATCCGGAGCTGGCTGGTAAGGGGGTGACTTGTGGAGCGCTGGAGCAAGACACACTCCTCCGTGCTGGGGTGGGGGGAAGGAAGCGCCAGCCTGGTCTTCACTCCCCCATGGTGTCATTGCAGACAATCTTCCGCAACCATGACCTGGATTCGTCAGGCACCATGAGCGCCTATGAGATGCGCATGGCTCTGGAATCAGCTGGTAAATCAGGAGGGGATGGGGGACTGGGCTGGGATAGGGAGATATGTTGAGCTTGGGCCCTGCATGAAAGTCCCTGGCAGCTGGATCAAGCCTGATACCCTCCTGGTGCCATCAGCTCAGAGTCCACCAGCCATGGCATTAGGGTCACACCTGAGATCTGTCCTGGCTTCCCTGCACCCAGTGCCTGGGTTCTGCTGACTGCTCTGCACTGTCCGTACTGTCTGTAATCCTGTGGTCACAGCAGTGCTAGTCTGAGTGCCTTGAGACTAGATGAGTCTGGGATCCAGGCAGGGCAGGCCTGACCTGCAGCCACTCTGTTGTGGGGCTGGCTTCCTGGCAGAGGGGAATCCAGGCAACCGAGCGGGCTACGTGTCCCAGCTACGGATTGGGGGAGCGAGCTGTAAGCAGAGGGCTAGTATTCTCCAGCCCATCGGCCTCTTATTCCAGGATGGGCCGGACTCTGTTTCCACCTCCCAGCTGTCACTGAAACCCAACGAGTATGACCCCCTCTTTCTATAGCCCATCCCATGCTCCCCTGGGGACTAACGGCTTCCCCCATCTCTGCCCTCCAGGCTTCAAGCTGAATAACAAGCTGCACCAGGTGGTGGTGGCGCGCTATGCCGATGCAGACCTGGGCATAGACTTCGATAACTTTGTCTGCTGCCTAGTCAAGCTGGAGGCCATGTTCAGTAAGTGCCATCTGTAGGGCGCAGGAGCACCCAGCAACCGCCAGGCAGGGGGTGCAGAGGAAATCTCGCCTGCGACCGAAACTAGCAGGAGGTCAGGGAAACCAAGTGGCATTGCCTGGGCTGGGGGTGGGTTAACACCTCTGTTCCTACTGGAGCCTGGAGGAAAACTTTGATTTTAAGCTTCATCTGAAAGATAGCATTTCCCCTAGTGGGGCTGATGGAGTCAGAGGGGAGAGCGCCCCCTATTGAGTCACTGACATCACCCCCAGCAGCAGAGCCCCCTGAAGATGCGACTGTGCGTTAGGACTGACTTGCTGTCACGGATCCGCAGGATTGGTGCTACGTCACCAACTTTGGAACGGTCTCTCAGAGGAGCCCCTTCAGTGTACCAGGCCCCCCAGGGGCCTCACTCTTCCTCCCCGGGGAAGCCACCGGGCCTCACTGCCTCCTTAGACTGGACGTCTGGGTCTTCAGCACTCCTGCTTCACCCAGTGATCTCTGTTCAGCAAGTCCAGTGAAGATAGACTCCACCAAGCATTTGCATTGACACACAGACAGCATGGTCAAAACAGTCGGGTTTATTAGTCCACTGGAGCACAGCAAAGGAAGTCCTGGGGGTAGCCTAGAGAGCTGAAGCATAGTCCATTCTGGTTAGCCCAGCCAAGCTGGAGTGAACCCCTTTGTTCAAGCTCTGTCCAGGTGAGAGCTCTGACTCCTTCCAGCAGCCAACTCTTATCCTCCCACATCTCCAATCCTTTGTTGGCAGTGGGGACACACTTCCTCCCTCCCTCTGGGTGGTTGGCTGCTAGGTGTCGATGTCCCGGTGAGTGCATTTCATAGAATCATAGAATATCAGGGTTGGAAGGGACCTCAGGAGGTCATCTAGTCCAACCCCCTGCTCAAAGCAGGACCAATCCCCAGACAGATTTTTACCCCAGTTCCCAAAGTGGCCCCCTCAAGGATTGAATTCACAACCCTGGGTTTAGCAGGCCAATGCTCAAACCACTGAGCCATTTGCCATTGTCTTCTCAGATGCTCCATTGACCTGGGAACTAATGCCCTTCACTTAAGCGCTACAGCTGTGCCGATGCAGCGTTTTAAGTGTAGACCTGCCCTTAGCCTGCTCTGAGAGTCCTTTTCCACCCACTGGGTTACAGTGCAGCATAAAGGGGAAACTGAGGCATAAACAGGACTCATAAAAATATTCCCACTTTGTCACAAAGTGCACCCTGGGTTTTCAGGGAGGTCTCCCATCCAATTCCTGATTCAGTCTGACCCTGTTTAGCTTGCAGAGCTGGGCTGGTATCAAGTGTGGGGTGGCTGTCCATATTGAGGTGCAGCTGTGACATATTGCAATTGCCCATAATCAGTGGTTCCCACACCACATGATGTGGCTGCATAGCTGCTAACCCAGGGGCTGGGCATTCAGGGGAGGATTCATGGCTGAGAGGGAAAAGGAAAAGCTTGTGCCAACTGCCCCATGAGCAGCTCTTGCACCTTCTGCCCCCCCACAGGATTCTTCCGCAGCATGGACGCCGAAGGCACCGGCACAGCAGTGATGAACCTGACCGAGGTGAGAGCGAGCCCTGGGGAGCCAGAGGCGAGGGCAAAGGGAGCTCTCCAGTGGAGCTGCAGAAGCTGGGTGGATCCTGGGGTGTAAGGGGGATCTGAATTAGAGAAGGGGGAGCCCTCCAGACTTCTGGGGTAGGGGAGGGAAAGGAAGTCCTAACCCAAAAAATGGTGGGGAAGGGGATGGTGGACCCCCTCCCGTCCACATCCTCCCTCAGCCAGCTCTCTGCAACTGTGCTGGCTGCTGGGCAGCATTCCTAGCTCAGTGAAATCCCCAATAGGAACAGATCCTGCCTAGGGCCTGGTTTCCTCACCACCCCCATCCCCTGCATCTGGGGATGTGCCCAGCCCTGGTGCCCATCTGATCCCCTGAAACAGAACAACCAAGGCTTTAACTCCGACTGAGTTGTGGACCAAGCTAGTGGGCTGGGGGAGGACCATTACTGTAACCCCTGCCCCTCCAATCCTAGCCCCAGTGTTAGTTCACTGTCCCCCTACTGGTGGCTCAGTCCAGGTGGAAGCCCAGGCTTTGGACCCCCCTCTGTTGCAGCCTGGTGGGGCAGCGGTTTGTGGCTCCCTTTCCCCACCAGCCCGTTCACTCTTTCCTCTCCCCACAGTGGTTGCTGCTGACGATGTGTGGCTAGGAGCAGAGACGGACCCGTGCAGGCTGAAACACCCCGATGGGCTGGGACACCCCACAGTGCCTCCCCCTCGGATTTACAGACATGAAATGTCCATCATCACCCCCGCTCCTTGCCTCTCTGTCCCTCTCCCTCCCCATCCCACACTGAGCCCATGGCCCTCACCCCACCTCCCAGCAGGACACACTCCAGCGTCATGTTGCCCCTTTTCGACCCAAGTGGCTAATCCGTTTGGGGCCCTGCGGGTGTTCCAGCTGGGAGGAGAAGTTGGCGATAGGCCAATCTCTCTTTGATGCAGTTTTGTTTATTTGCAAAGAATGTACAAAGTCCTGTGTCTGTGAAGGCAGAGGGCATCGAATAGCAGGAACCAGTTTCTTTGGTTCACAGCACCAAGATTTGTCTTTTCACCTGCACCCCTGACCCAAAAACCTCTGCCCAGGTTTCTTCCGGGGTCAGCCACCATGCTTTTCCTTCCGCCCGTCTCTCTCATTCAGTCTGCCACCCAGTTTGTGTTATTCCCCCATACCCACACACGCACACCTGATGACCATACCCAGTCGTACCTTCTGCCCACCAAGTGCTAGTTTCTGGGCAGACTATTAGGTTTTGTTTCAGGTGTGACCCCTTAGCTGTCTCTTATGATGGACTTAAACGAGGGACTTATTCACACATCAGTTAGAAGTTTTAACTCAATCCGTAACAAGGTTTCACCCAGCTTGTAACAGTCCCAATGGCCAAGCCTCTCTAGCTCATTCCCGATTGTGGGCATGGCTTGTACCCCGCAATAGGAGGAGGTTGGGGAGGGCACATGGGAGTATGCTGCATGTCAAGTCATTGCACATGGTCTTCAGACCAGCAACTCTAGCTGCATGTAGCGGGGCGCCAGTAAGGGATGGAACTTGACTGCAGGGTGCAGAGGACCTGGCCCCCAGCGGGAGGGGGTGAGATCTGTGTCACTTCCTGGGGGACTGCTCTGGCCCACGCTGGCCATTGGTGCCAGTTTGATTTTGTGAGTGAATCCCACCAGGACTCAGCACTGGGAATCGCGACCCAGCATCTTTGCTAGGGGCTAGGCAGTGAGCTCTGGGGCTGAGCTGCAGCCAGGATGGGGGTTGCCTCTGGTTAAAACCAAGCAGAGGCATTTGAGAGGAGGAGAAAGATCTAGTGGTTCAGAACCAGGCAGTGGGAGTCCTGTGTCCTGTTCCTGGCTCTGGGAGTGGAGTTTGATTTAGGAGTTGGAGGAAGGAGCTAGGAGTCAGGACTCCTGGCTGCTGAGCTGTTCTAAGCACTTACATGTTCATCACCATAATGCCTGAGCACCTTCTAAACATGGCCATGACCAAAGTATAAAGCCCCCTCGTGGGACAGGAGTCTTGGGTCCTAGCCCCACCTGTCACTGACTCGTGTGGCCTTGGGCAAGTCTCTTCGGCCACTCTGAGCCTTAGCCCATGTCTGCACTAGAGAGCTTACAGCAGCACTGCTGTAAGCTCTCTCGTGTAGCCGCTCTGTGCTGACAGGAGAGAGCTCTCCCGTCAGCATCATAAAACCACCCCCACGTGGCAGCAGGAGAAGCTCTCTTGCCAATATAGCGCTGTGCACACTGGCACTTCTGCTGGTGTAACTTATATCGTGCGGGGGGGGAGGTTCTTCACACTCCTGAGTGACATAAGTTACACCCACAAAAGTGGTCATGTAGACGAGCCCGCAGTCTCTTCACCCCAGGATTGCTGAGTGCAAGAAGTTTGTGGTGAGTGTTACTCTTCTGCCCCCTGCTGTTGTGGAAGGGGCAGTACACCCTCTATCTTCCCTAGAGAGAAGTTTAGGGGTTTCTCTCTCCTGTACCACCCCCTGGTGTCTTGACAGGAACAGGGCTGTGATTTCCTCCCCCAGGGGTGAGTTCCTTTCTTGCCCCCTCACTTCATGGCCCCTGTGCTGCTGCTGCAGTGGGGTGGCCCTAGCTGGGGCTCTGTCCAAAGCCCCTGCCCTCAGGCAGGGGTGTGGGCAGCAGCACTAGCACTTGGCCCTCCACCCCACCCCTTGCCTATGCATTTCTGGAGGATATGGCTGTGGAAATAACCACTTCTGCTCGGCTGACAGAGCTGCCTCCCCAGCCCCTGCTCACCGTGTAGCCTGGATAATAAATAGAGATCTGTACAAACACAGCCTCTGCAGTGAGTGATTGGGGGCATAAACCTCTCGCAGGGGCATGGATCTAAAGCCAGCCCCTGTGCACAGCCTGGGCTGCTGGGCCAAGTAGGGGAGTAGCCCCCGTCTGCACTAGAGCAGAGCAAAGGGTCTGTCCCTCCCCAACAGTGTCTGGGGATAGGGCCTGGGAATTAGCCCTTGAGCAGTAGGGTGGTGGCACTGCTCCCTCCCTGCCCAGTGTGCTACAGCATAGTGGGTGCTGTCAGAAAACGCCCCCGCCCTCATCTCTGCTGAATTGCGGTGGAGGCCGGGGCAGGGGACTGGGCAAGTGGTGCAGTGTTCTGAGTGAGGTGGCCAGTCTGTGCCAGGGCCCAGCTGCCGCAGGGATGAGACACGCAGCTGAGTCAAGGAGAGGCTGAATGGAGCCCAAGTTGCAAGGGGATCCTGCTTTCCAGGGTGCGTGGGAAGGTACAGCTACCTCCTCTTGGGCACACGCAGAGGGGCAGTGCTGTCTGTGGGAGTGCCAGGAGGGAGCTGGGGCCTAAGGGGCCATTAGCCTTCTCTCCCCCTGCCCCCAAATTGGGGGGGCAGCCGTGTTCCCCCGGGAGGCTCTGTGGACCAACAGGCAGGGCTGGGCTGGAAGGAATCCCCAAGCCCTGACCACAGCTACTGAGGGGAAACCCAGCATCTGCCCTAGAGGGCTCTATTGGTGGGGACTAGGGCCACAGATGGCATTTCTGGGGGTGAAGTGACTCTACTGGGTTTTGGCTTTGTGCCCTGCTGTCCCCTGTGTGTGCTGCTGGGGGTGCTGTCCCAGCTCTGGGTGGGGGAGGCTGCAGGCCTACTGTTGCATTAGAAGGGTAATTAGCTAGGTCCCTGCCCTAAAGCACTGCCTGCCCTATGCCCTGGGTATAATTTCCTGAGGCATTTCTGCCTGGCAATCACTAGGGGGAAGTACAGCTCTTCTCCGCAGCCCGCCTGGCAAAGTGCTCAAGTGCCAGAGGGCCGTGCTCCAGGCTCCAGAGTGGTGCTGCTGGCTCCGGGCCTGGAAGGATCCCATGTTGAAGTCAGCAGCGGGGCTCTGGGTTTGGGAGGCCGGGAAGCATTTGGCGAGTCAGGCTGGCTGGGCAGCACCACCCTCCTGTGCTGGGAGCCCAGCCCAGCCGCCATCCGGTGCAGCCATTTCTCACCCACGGGAGTCACTGGAGGGGAAACACAGGGCTGAGGTGCAGCTCTTGAGCGAGTGCCCTAGGGAGCCTGCCAAGTCGCTGCAGCATTTCTTCGGGAGGGTTGGGAACCAAACCAAGCTTCCTACTCTGATAAGCCCACTGGGCCAACAGCCCATGAATTGAAACCCAGGCTCCATGTATGTTTCCATATAGATGTCTGGGTCAACGTCCCACCCCATCCTGGACGCTTGGGTGCAGAGCACTAATGTAGCAGCCATTCACCTCCAGGGAGCAAGAATCCTGTGCAGCTGAAGTGACAGTCAGTGTCTGGGTAACACGTGTTGGATTGTCCGCCCCAAAGAGACCTCAAGCAGGAATAGCAGAGAGGGCTGCAGGTCAGGGATGAGGGGTGTTGGCAGACCTGGGGGTGGGGGGAGCCCCAGGCTGGAATAGCAGGGGGCTACAGGGCTGGCTAAGGGAACATAAAGCAGGATTCACCGTTTCCCCTGAAGCAGCTGGCGCCCTGGACTAGGAAGAGGCTGGGCTCCAGGCCATTTCTGCATGCTGTGTGTCAGTGTGGCGGTCACTGTTTATTCCTGAGAGACAAGGTGGGTGAGGTCATATCTTTTAGTGGAACAACGTCTGTTGGTGGAAGAGACAAGCGAGTCTCTCTCAGCACCAGAAGTTGTTCCACTAAAAGCTATGACCTCACCCACCTTGTCTCGCTCCTATCCTGGGCCCAATACAGCTACAACAACTGTTTATTCCTGGCATTCGTCAGCACAGAAAAAGTCAGTGCTTGCCACATGCAAGTCTGAGCTCGGGGGGCGGGGGAAGGATGGGGATGGATAACACATCCCTGGGTGGCTAATGTGGGTCAGGGTTGGCTCTAGCCCCCCAATAAATAGACATTGCACAACTTCTCTGGCTTCAAACAGCCTGGCCACCTGAAAAAGCCCTCATATAGCCCAGGGCTACCAGGCACATCACAGGGTGCCCATGTGTTTTGTGAGGAGGGGCTGTTCCTTCAGCTTCTCTTGGCATTTCCATCCATTGTGCTTATGGGGGCAGAGGGGAATGCTCATACAGGATGGGGTTAAACGTGCAGGGGGAGGTATGCTGTGGAGACTAGCCTGCAGCTCTGGGCCTCTGGCCCTGGAAAGGAGACCACACAAGGCATGGCACTTGACCCTGGGTAAGGATTGTGGGAGGCCAGAGAATGCTGCTGCTTCCTTTGAGATGGCGCAGGTCACAGCTGGATGCAAAGAGCTTCCAGACAATCTGCACGAAGGAAGGAGATGGGGAGGAGGTCCTTAGCCTGTATTGCTCAAAGCAGAGTCCGTGCTTGGCTTCTGCTGGTAGAATGGCTGCTAGTACACAGAGAGGGAGTCCTGGCCCAGCCCTCCTTGGAGCAACCCTCACTGGGTGTGGGTGAGGTTAGCACTTGGGAAAGGAGGAGCTAAGAGCGCTTGCAGGGGCTGCTTTCCCTTGGGCTCCCCACCCCCAATATTCAAGTTGTGCCGGACTAGTGCACACAGCTTGGTGGGGTTTGTTCACTGAGCGAGCCGCGGGCTCTTGTGCACTGTGTTGGGAGGCGCAGCCTGAGAAACGAGTGTCCCGTCCACAGCTTCCTCCCCTACCCCAGCTTTCCTCACGGCTTGGAGCTGAGCACCTCCGGGAAGGTTCCCTTTGCCTGCAGTGCAGCTACCTGACTGGCCGAGCTCCCTGTGCGTGCATGTAAGGGGCAGCACTGGCCTGGAACCCCCCCGCACCCCTGTGGCACGGGCCATGCTGTCTCTGTACAGGGCTCAAAGGGGCCTCTCAGCTAGGCCTCCTTGGTGGGGGGGAGGGGACAATGGGGGCTGGGGTTTGAGCAACAGTGATTGGCTGACAAGCAGGAGAAAATCAGAAGCAGAAGTGGCTTTTGTTGTTCTCCCAGCTGTGGGGACTCATCACTGACACAAAGGGCCCAATTGTGGGGCACCCTCTGCCATTGGGCTGACAGGTGCCCCAGGCTTAGCCTCATTGACCAGGCCTTCTGGGCAGCAACTGGTGGATCATTCCCCATGCTGCAGCTAGCCAGTCCCCGGGGAGGGCAGCTGATGTCTCACTAGCCCAGAGGCTCATGTTCCAAAGGGGGCAACAGGGAGGCCCAGCTGGGCCCTGGACTCCCCTCCCACCCCATAGCACTTCCAGTGCATAGGGACCAGGGTGTGAGCCACCCCTTGATGGATTCAACCCACAGGGCTCCCTTAGCCATCGCTAACACAGAGCCGTCACTCCCAGCTAGAGGTGGCATTCACACTCCTGCCTCCCCCTGCACCTTGGGGACTGCCACGTGCAGGTGTAGGGCAGACAACTCGTGCCCAGCCTGCTCTGAGATCAGCCAGCAGGGGGCACTGTGGGGCATCTGGGCGGTCAGAGCTGTTCAGCGGGCAAGGAGAGCGAGGTGTGGCAGGAGGTGATTGGAGCCACTGAGCGGGCAGAGTGCGACGGGGTGTCTGGAGCTGCTCAGCAGGTAGGGAGCACTGCAGCAGTAGCGGGCAGTGAGAGCTGCGTAGCTGGCAGGGGATGCCATGGGGCGGTCAGTGGGCAGGGAGCATTAGGGGGGCAGCTTGCGGGCAGCACGTGGAGCCCCCTGCCCCTCCCCAGGGCCGTGCCAGCTGCTTCTGGGAGTAGTGCGGGGCCAGGGTAGGTAGGGAGCCTGCCTTAGCCCCGCTGCACCGCCGACTGGGAGCCGCCTCAGGTAAGTGCCTCCCAGCCAGAGCTTGCACCCCACACCCCCTCCTGCCCTCCAGCCAGGAGCCCCCTCCTGCACCCAAACTCCGTCCCAGAGCCTGCACCCCACACCCCCTCCCACACCCCAGCCGGGAGCCCCTTCCTGCACCCAAACTCCCTCCCAGAGCCTGCACCCCTCACCCCCTCCCAAACCCCAAACCCCTACCCCAGCCCTGAGCCCCCTCCCACACCCAAACTCCTTCCCAGAGCCTGCACCCCACACCCTCTCCTGCATCCCAACACCCTGCCCTAGGCTCTGTCCAGAGCCCCCTCCCATACTCTGAACCCCTCGGCCCCAGCCCACACCCCCTCCCAAACCCCTGCTCCAGCCCGGTGAAAGTCAGGGAGGGTGGGGGAGAGCGAGCGACAGAAGGAGGGGGGATGGAATGAGTGGGGCAGGACATCAGAGAGGGGTGGGGCAGGGGTGGGGCCTCAGGGAAGGGGTAGGGCGGGGCAAAGGTGTTTGGATTTGTGTGATGAGACAGTTGGCAACCCTAATTACTAATTACTGCCATTACTAATCCTTAATCCTGCCATGAGTGCAGGGGACTGGACTAGAAGACCTCATGAATGACGTCCCTTCCAGAACTACGATGCTATGATTTGGAAATGACAGAAAAGGGGAACTTACCTTCTGTGGCCTGAGGCGGGGTGGTGCTCCCAGAGGCCAGGATTCCCCCAGGTTGCGGGGGGTGCTCCCATGGGTTGGGATTCCCCTGTCTACCCTGTATGCACCAACAGTCTGCACTGGGATCAGATGGCGATGGGGGACTCCTCCCTAAGGTCAGGATTCCTCTGGGGAGGGGGCTGTTTCTTAGCTATTCCCTCCTACAGTCCCCTCTTCCCAGCCCCCTTGCCCCTGTGTCCCTTGTGGGGGCTATCAGTGCCTCTCCTGAGTGACTCCCTCCCTGGGCCCAGCTTGGCCCAGAGCCTAGCTCAGTTTTGGGCCCATCACTGGCAGCCGAGGCCTTCCCAGTCCCGTGAGCATTAAGCCTGCACGGTCGCTGTGCCACTTCCTCTGGCGGGGCCCTGGGCCAGGAGCTGCCTGAGGGTCTTTTTTTTTGGAGCCAGCAGCTTGCCC